AACTGAATTTTCCTTTGTTGTTAAAGCGATATTGTATGCCATGAACATTTCAAACTCTTGTTTTTAATACAGTGTATCCCTACTCCTCTTGCGTAGTTTGCACATCATTTGCCTTCTGGTTTCAAAGATTTAGTGTTATGATGACGTAAGAGGTTTTCTTGTATTACTCATTTTATAATATTCTTAAATTTTCAAAAGTGGTTTTACTTGTTCTATTTGTTAATTTTCTTCTGGGTTTTAAAAAAAGTAACCATCGTGATTTTAATGCATCTATGCTGGGACATCTTTTTCTTTATCTGTTTTTTTTTGCTTGTGTTTACATGCAACTATAAATTAACCACGAAATGTTTGACCTGATATCCTTAAGCTTTTAAGGATTGTAATAGAAATACCGATCCCATTCTTATTCTTTTCACTGATAAGATCCCTACGACTCTTTGCTTTATATTTGCAGGTATTTTAGTTTAAGTTGTGCATGTGTGCATGTTTTGTCTTGTGTCTTGAGTTTAGTTGAGCAATATTTCTAAATAAATTTCTTCAAGAATTCATGACTTGCAATTCAGCCATGTTGGTGGTCTGATACAAAAGAGTATTTCATCAGAATTATAGTTGACACCAGCCGGCGTGCGCGAGCAAGATTGTTTCGCAAATGTTACGAGAACGGTTGCAAGTCAAGAATAGTTTACTAAGAAACAAAAGACGTCATTTTCCCAAACAGAATAGACTTGCATTGTTGCTTGTCATGTTTGTGTTTCGTTGTATTTACTACTTATTATATCGTAAACGTTATTTATACGAAAAAATACTTTCGTTAGGAATGAAACTCTTTTGATTCATGTAAACAGCTCATGTGACCTTCGTTTACATCCTATTACATTTTTGTCCTCATGTTTATATATTATATATCTAATTGCAACATGTCATTGCTTATAAGCACTTATAAGAACTTATAAGTTCTACCTTGATTATTTTTTGTCTGCATGTATGTAGGTTACGTTCCAGTTGGTGATTATTGCCACAGGAATTTATAAATTCTTTAATTTGCTCACCTTCGCTCTGTGCTTGTCACTTTTTCATGACAATGGTCCACCGTTTTCTGGTACGCAGTAAGAATTTTTATTTAAAGTTGTATTAATAAAAGATATTTAATAATTCTTAAATTGGAAAGTGGTTTGATTTCGAAAATTGAAGTCAAACTTTGTCGTAAATGTAAATGAAAACGATTACCTTTTAGTTTCAACTGTATTTACGGTCGCCATATAAGCTTACCGGACAGCGGTTATACAAGCATGCCAATGTTCATGTTTTTATTTAAAAAAATGTACGTTGTAAGAGTATCGTAGATCCTGTAAATAGCCATCTTGGTCTTTTGCCTTTCAATGAAGAAGTAATTTCCTACAGCTTATTGCAAACAATGTTGCGTATTTCTTGGTGGGTTGCAAACATCTCTCTGGGAGTAAGAGAACAATGGAAAGCGCGCCATGTTTGATGACATTTGCAGTGTAAATAAGGAAAATCCTTTGTTAAAATCATCCAGCATGGCGACTATGACGTAGCTTGCAACGCAAGAATATAAGATGTGTTTTAAACTCTATTATATTCTAATGTGAAGTGACATTGAAATATGCCCAAGTCCAGACAGATTGGTTGCTCAACTAGGCTTGATATATATGGTTTAAGTGTTTCTTTTTCAGAAACACTCATACTATTTTTCAACAAGTGAATAAAAAAATATCACAGCTAGAATGCGAAAATATATATGGCTGTTATAGACCCATTACTAAGATTTACTTAAATTACATATTGCGTACGGGTTATGGATTTCAAATAACTGTTTGCTGTTTTTACGTGGCTCCTATTATGAATGCAGTATAAAGTTATACACAAACACAACAAAGAACAATTGCTTTGCACACAAGAATATCATTAATTTGTGACGATAAGTAGTGTTTATAGAAACGCTTATTTCACAAACCGTTTCCAAAACAAGGTTATTATTTTAGCTTGGCTATTATAATAGTCCAAGCATTTGAAGAAATTCTTGCAACGACAATTATAAATCAAAAATCTTTTGAATTTGTGGAGCAGTTGGCAAACGACAGCAGTAATAACAATGCTCATGGTGTCAAGCAATTATGTTCATTTTATGCAGAATGTTAAATTTCGTTGAATTTAAGCATTGATTTATAAATATACTGAAATTATAACTCCGCTATCTAAACTTCCTACTCCCTCACATGTAATTTAACTCCGTGTAATATATGCTTGCATTTAAAACCTCATGTATATAATTTAACTCAAATAAACTGTAGATTTCTTAGATTAAAGACGAAACGTTTTCAATATATCTTTCTTTATTTTATTATTGTGATGGCTTTTTTAAAAGTATTTTGTTGGGCCAATATGTTCATATTGAAAAGTATATAATCGTTTCTATTTGCCATAATTCATTGACGCTTTGCTGAACTCCGGCTAACCAGGCACATGTGATTAGCCCTATAACTTTTTTGATTTTAAATCATTCCTGTATAATTCCTTTGAAATCCAAGAGTCGCAGAAGTATCAAGTTCCTTGTGAGCTTTTGCGCCTTTTGCATTTCATTGGGTTTATTCATGCCGAATTACTTGAAGCAAAAACAAGTTAAAGAACTTAAAAGTACTATCTTGACATGAATTTCATTTTAAATGTATTATGCAAAAGCTTCGTAGTATCAAAGCGACAATAGATAGGTTATAGCAGCCTCAAAACATAATAATTTTTCCATAAGATAGACTAACTCCATAAAAGGACAAAGTAACTCGTAAATAAATTAACTAGGCGTAACAAATGGTTATTGCACATTAAATTATCTTATGCAGATTTTACTTTCATGCATACACATTAATTACGTGAATTTCGTGTATATATGCGGTATTTTCGTATAAAAAAGCTTCATGTTACCCACGAGAAATATTTTTCAGAGAATTGCTCTCCCATTGCTGTTATTCATCCCTTCAGGTGTTTCTATTGAAACAATGGTCAATATTTTCTGGTTAAAATTGTAAGTCTTACATGAGCGTAGTCTTACGAAGCATGTTGCAAAATTGAAAGAGATTAGTTCAATTGCACAGAGATAAAATTGTTGTCATGGGAGACTATGATAATAATTTTCATGTGCTGTTATTAATTGAAGTTTTGTCCTCAATTTATTCGAGCCAATTTTCATATCATAAAAGATTTTCCAAAAATATATTAATAACAGAAAATTTTTTGTTTGTAGCTTTATAAATATGAAAAAATGAACTTCTTTTTTTTATGCATGAAAATAAACTTTTTACAAATTTTGACAGCAAAAAAATTCAACTGCTTTGTTTAAAGAAAACATTCTTACTATTTTTAAGATCATCTTAAAATATCCATTGTGGCTAAATAATGAATGATTCCATTAACGCCGTCCTCCTCAAGAGGGCAAACAGATAGGGTAACGATGCGCACTAAACAGCTGACGTATCTCTATTTACTTCAGCCGGTAGACTTTCAATCCTTTGATAGTGAATGCTTCTGCTTGCAATGAAGATCCATCTGTTAAAACTTTGTTGGTAAATCATATATTTTACGATTTCTACATTTTCTATCCCACGATTTCCACGCACCCTCTTACGAAAACCACACACTTCTACGCCAGATTTAGTCTAAGATATGATTCTGCCATTAAAAATTGACCTTACAAAACTGCAATACGCATCAATCAATTGGCATAAATTTAACCATTTTACCATCATGAATGCGTAGTATAGTTTTAACACATCACAAGATTTTTTCAATGACACATGAAGCTCAAATAGTATTTTCTCGGCAACTTTCATCAACAAAAAGTAAATGCAACTGATAGCTTACTAGCAGATCCAGGCCATTATTGGAATTTATCAATCCGTTATTGCTCATATATAAAAGAGCCGTTGTTTAAAATCATTTGCATTGAATAATCGACGTATCATACATTTTTTAAGCTTGATTTATCTTATACAACAAAATCAGAAAAATCAACTCCAAACACATCAGAAATATCAAGTAAAAACACATTAATGTGGCACAAAGCAAAATTTTTTTATATATGTGAAAATGAAGCTGTAAACACCAAACTTAAAAATAATCAAACAGAAATTAGCAAGTTGAAAAAAACTATTGATTTGCAAAATAAACATGAAGAATTCAAGGAGAAAGTATTGCGAAATGAAATAAATTGGGTTAGGGAATTAAAATATCTTCAAATTTGCAAAATGAATGCCATGAAATAGTTTGTAAGTCAAAAAAAGATGTCTCGTTTGCAAATAAATATGTAAAATTAAGGAGATGGTAATGCAAAATGAATCAAAACGAATTGCAGATTTAAAACATTTTCAAGCTTTGGAAAACGAATGTGAAGAATTAAGGCATTTATTGATTGAACATGAAAAAATAAAAAGAGATACTTGAAGTGAAATTAATAATACCACAAGCTAATTTGGATGAACTTCAAAATTATTATTCAAGTCAATCCATATCAGAATGTGATATGAAAACGATGACAGACAAATTAAAGGCTTCTGAAGATAAAGTAAAATATTTTTCTGAATACAATGATGTTCACTATATTTCATTAACTATTTCAACGAAGTGAAATAATTTCCGAAATAAAATGATGTCTAATACAATTCATGCAATATTTTCTTAAAACGTTCAATATATAATTGTCTTACAACTTCCTTAAGGTTAATATTTATAAGATAATAAAAATTATTAAAATTATAAAAATTATAAAAATTATCTGGGACCAAAAACCCAGCACTTCAACTTATTTTGCAGCCGTAAATACAAAACTAAAAGTGTTCATTGAGATCTTTATATTTTAATAAGACTAAACAAAACAGCTACTCAGTTCATGTGTATGTTTTTTACACATATTTCTATGGACTAGAAAGAGAATATAGAATAGGAAAGAGAATACATATATCTTAATCAAATATACTTGACAACTAATGTATGTATGTAAACATGTATTTCATTAATTAGTTTATGATTAATATAAATGTATTCAAATAATATAATTGTTTTCAAATACCATACAGTAACAAAAAATTTTTGATGTACTTGCAAGGGTACCAGAGCAGATAATGATGTAGCAAATTGTGTGCTCTGCAATTGATACCAGAAAAATAAAACTACATTAATTTTAAGTGCAACAAACTGTCAGCAAACAGCAATTACTAACAAAAAATTATCCTGTGTGGCAGTCTTAAAAAAGAAATATAAAAAGAGAAGTTAATTCACAAATTACTACCTAGCATATCAAGGAGTCGGATTGCAAAAAAAAGAATACCATCAAAAGTATAAGTTTTGTAAAAGTATAAGGGTGTGTTGGATATCAGATTTGCCCATGTGTGTACTCATTTATTTTAGTATGTTGTCATTCTTTTTATTGATAAAAGCTAACAACTAAATTGCATACTTATGAGTCAGCAGGACTGTTTGGACTTTCATTCTTAAGTTGCACGATTTTCCAATTTTAAATAATTATGACACAACGTCACGACCGTAGGCATGTTTGAAGCCTCGTTCTTTAAACTCCTTGTTTGTTTACAGTCAACACGCAATTGAACATTGTAAGGTACACTTAACACACAAATACACCGTAAAACTACTCACACCGACAAATTACTTGATTTCAACAGCAATCACCCAACGCAACACAAAATAAGCTGAATACGAGCACTTTTTAACAGAATCAACTCCCATTGTAACACCAAAGAAGCCAAGAAAACGGAGCGCAACTACTTATACTCCACATTTATTAAAAAACAATTACCCTAGAAACTTTATAAGCAAAATTGTAAACAGAATACAAAACAATTCAAGCCCCCAAACTGCACCAATTGTTCTTAATATACCCTTCGTAGCACATTGTTCTTACCATTTTTCTCTATTTATTGCTGTAAAAATATTCTAAGCTTTGCATTTCTTTTCCGGAGTCTCAACCATACTAATTACTGCTGGTGTCATTTCTTCAAAGCTCCCCCCATGTATTGCACAAGCTGCCCTCAAAATCTATTGTGTACATTGGTTTGTTGAGGACTCCTTGTAGAGGGATGTTCAATTGGCGATGGAAGCCGCTCATTCAGTGTTTTCTTTCTAATGGTAAAAGTTTCCTTATCTTTCTCAATCTTACTCTGTTGAACTTCATTAATGATCTCCTTTATAATAACACTTACTTCTTCTACTTCACTAACAATTTTAACTACCTATATCAATAACAGCCATAGTGCCTTTTTGCAGCTATATAATTTGATAAATTGAACGATAGACAATTTGTGTGGTCTAGGTTTTGCTGTCAGGTGGAGAAGGACTTGCGCAAAATAAAATTAATTATAAATGTCCTCACTTGCAATAATGTACAATGACAACAAAGTAATGCGTACATGGGGAATTTTGATAATCTTGTGCTTATGCTTGTATTTATCCTCATGTCAACAATGTTAAACCTCCCTTGGGATTAATATGACTGCCAGCAAAACGTAAAGAAGTCAAGTCATCTACAAATATCAATGAGGCCGAAGGTTTTTACTAAATATTTACCATTCACTCAAGCAGTACAAAACATGAACATCTTTGTTAACCTAAAACGTAAAACTCATCGTAAAAAATACTAAAGAGCACTTCTCTTTGTGAACATACCTAGTCATCTAACCTTTTCAGCTTTTAGTCATAGCATGATTTTTTAGCTTTCTGCTTGCTCTCAAACCATGTTGTTCCTCGCTGTTTCATGTATTGGCCAATATTGAACCGCTTATATTGTGATGCTTTTGGCCACTTTATTTTAGCAATTTTATTGCCCAAATTAAAAAAAAGAATAAAAACATATGATTGCTTACAGACAAATATACTTCAATATTACGGTGGCTCACAAAGGACACGAGACAAAATAGTAAGAATTATACAAAATAAAGATATTGGTGCATACACAAAATACATCATACACATACAAAATAAAATACATGCACAAAATAAATTATACACACAACATAAAAAATATTCACACAAAACAAAAATACACACACAAAACAACAATATACACACAAAATATAATCGCGAGCGTTTGCAGTGTCGGGTTTCTTGGAATTGTTCAGAATTGACAGTGTATGTTTTCAAAGTTCGAATTGTTTTAATTTCAAGAGTACAAAACAAAATTTGCTCATTTCACTGTGATCACTTATTTCAAAGTTGCTTATGATATTGTTCCCCATATTCTGCTTAAAATTAAGGCTAATATGTTGTCCTGGTTGCGGCAACGATTCCGGCTCAGTCTCGGAATCAAACACGTACTATGATGATTGTTTATCAGAGCAAAAGAATAGCCTGTTATAGGTGTAATTATAACAGCTTATTTCAATCGTTGTTATCCGTATGGGGCAATCGTCAGATGATTATACGGACATCGCATTTGTGACAAAAAGAAGCTTTGTTAAGTGATTGTGCACCACAGTTCGCACAAAACTTAATTAAGCCAGGAGGCTGCGGCGCAATTAACGCTAGTCATTATTTACTATGTGAGCATTCTCGGCCGTGATTGGACAACTACCTGCAGATAATTCTCGATATCTGTAGGTCATGAAGTCATAACCTACAGATTATAGTTTCTACAAATATCTCCGCCATTAAAAGCCGGTTTTGAAAACAATTTAAACAACAGCGATGTTTGCCACAGTTTCTAAAAACAATGTGAAAGCTTTTTAAGCAAAAAAACAATAAACCAATCGCACATTAACCAATCACAACGTTGCGACAAGTTACAACGAACATAAAGGACAAAGAACAACCCAACCAACGACAAGGTGCAGTTTACAAAATAAACTACTCGGATTGCCACGCCTCTTATATCGGGGAAACTGGCAGGAACTTAAACATAAGACATACTAAACACAAACGGGATTCAAAGAAACAAAACAAAACTACTCACCTTACCAAACATCACCGACTCACAAAGAACAACATTGATTGGGACTCGGCAAAATGTATTGTATGCAGCAGAGACTATAGACAAGGACGTATATTAGAAAGTTGGCATACCAACTTGGACCAAGCCCCAATGAACAGATCACAGCAATTACCGGCACCTTATGAACGACTTATTATACAAACAAACGATCAACTAAAAACATTACACTTAACACTAATCCACAATAATAATACACAATTGACACCCACACATATCCTGTACCTACAATACAATGAAGTATAAACCAGATAGCAAATACGGCTAACCTAACGCTTACTCATTATTTGACTTCGAAAATTACTACCGCTAAGTTTGTCGAAGCGTCAGTTAACAGCAAGAAAAATAGTCCTTCTCAGTACTATACTAACCAGGACGATCTAAACGAGCTATTATTATGTTAACTCTTAGTTATTATAATTAATACAATTATTACGATTATTGTAATTGTTTTATTAGTTTAGGTCATTCTTAACGAAATAAGGTGTTATGCAAATATAATCAAGATACTACCATTTTATCACATACAAAACAAGCATAGAAATAAAAAAAGCGTGTCAGGGTGCGACGACAATAAGAGTAAAGATGCTAATGACTACACATGTCACCAGATGCCAGACATACAATGTCAAGATATCATCGATTAGTTAATGGCGATTTGATGATGGATATTGAACTTGTGATAATCGAAAAAATCCCAGCTGTTGACCTTAAAACAGAATAGTAACTTTGGTCAACAAGAATCGTGATGTTAATTGATGAAAATATAAAGCAACACATGTCGTTGAATTTAATACTCAGTGTGTGAGATAATGCAAAAATCAAATCCTTGGTTAGAAATGTGATAATCCCATAGCAGTGTGAGGAGTCTCAAGCTCTATCTGCCAAATGTGTTGCGTTTCAAAGATTGTTTGGGGCAGGATGAAAAGAAGGTATACATGCTGAGTTTAGGGAGAAGTATTGCGATTATCTGAAGTATGGAGAGTTACAGGCCTCTTTAGAATGACAAACAAATCAAACGTCTGAATAGAGACATTTCAGTTTCCTTAGAATATGTATGGTTTACCTACATTTCATATATCCAGCACAGCAAGGTGTTTTGGAGGTACATGGTTACATAGCATGACCCTTTTTTATTTATATCTGAAGGTCGTACCCATGGACGGCACTAGAACGCTAATTTGGTTTGTAAATTCATATATTCAGTTGTTGGCGAGTGAGTTCTTGTGAAAGTAATTTGATTTTCTAAAGAAGTCAGTCGGGCACAACTTAATATATATGATTATACATCACCCCAATTACCTTTCTAGCGCCGTCCCTGGTCATTACGGTAGTTTATCACCAGGAGAGGAAAGTAAGTCGGAGCAAATACTAAATGAGTTTTAAAGCTTGAATATGGTTTCAATGAACGGAGCAGAGACACCTGAGATCATCGTGAGCAGTCCTTCGCTTAACAGAAGTTTGCAGTCCAAACAGGTTAATCAAAGTGACATGGATGAAAGTGAAACAAATTGAAGAACGACATGTTTCTTTGTCCGGCTTGTAAATTCATCATCTAGAATTAGTTGGGGCTCGTGTGACGACTAATCTAGCAGTTAATATGACAAGTCCCTTACCCGAAATCCAAAACTCGGTGAGAGACTCTACTTCAGTTTTGAGGAAAAGAACCTTACTTTATACAAGACATCTAGTGACTTTTTGAAAGGACACATTATACAAGACCTTTTTAAGAGGACACGTAATCAACGGACTTGAAACGCATAGCACGTTCTTAGAAAAAAACTTAAATATGTTCACCTGTTGTTTATTTTTCTGGCAAATGTGGTATAACGAACAATAAGGTGACTAACAAGAAATTAGAAGTTTAGAGGTATATCATATTCCTCTAGACGTCGATTGATCAACGAATGTAAGGCGCAAAAAAGTGATGACCAAAACTGTTGTAGGAAGCACGTTTCGCCCAATGTCCATGTTAGCAAATCAAACATTAAACATGACAATGAACATTCAGAGAACGATATCATGAAAGAAATGCGGTACACTTAACTTTTATGCACGTGGTTTAGGTTTTGTATAAACTTCCATGAATAATTTAATTTCTCTATACTTCCAAAAAAGCATCGTAACCATTCCTCTATTTTACCACATAGCAATAAACGACATTTATACGTCAACCGTTATTTTTATTAGAAAATATCTTAGAAAATCATCCAAGAGTTACTGGCCGAAAGATAAAACGATATTTAAATCAATAAAGTAGGCCTTCAAACAGTCCAATATGCTGAATAACTTACTTTATTATGCATAATCATTGCTACTGGCTATACCTGAGATTCGTAGTGCCAATTCAAAGCAATAAGCTCCCACCATGTTGGACAGCCACCAGAGACAAATATTAGACGGAATAATAACCACTTGACAAGCCAAAGTGAAACTAAATAATTTGGAGAATCTGTCGAAATTCTAAACAAAAATATAAAAGAACACCATAAATTATGGAAAAGAAAACGGTGGTAGCAAAAACGTAACAGTTGAAGTAGACATTACGGTAAGTAACATCAAAGAAACAAATTAATGTCTTTTACTGTCAAAACTTGATTTGTGGACAGTGATACTATAATACACAAAAAACAGTTTTAAGAAGCAGTATATCTCTAAAAAAACATGTAAGTTTAGCAGAAACAACAAGCACTGATTATGTTGTAACAAGCATGTTATATAAGTACGTAGCTAATGTTTTCAAAATTGTAAGAAGCACAATAGACTGATTAATGTTGCAGGATGGGACATCATTGACGACATAAGCTCACCAAAACAGTCTATGCTGATGACGCCGTCGTCTTTCATGTTAAGAGCCGTTTAGATTATACGAGAAGACGACGTGTCTTTACGAAAGAAAGAATTTCATGCTTGCAGATGTAGATCGTTCAGGTTAGTAAAAACCTGAGAAAGACTGTTTTTGTTGTTATTGACTGACGTTCGACAACCTTAGCGGTAGTCATCTTCAGAGTCAACAAAAACAGTCGTTCTCAAGACTATACTAATCTGGACGACCTACATCTACAATCATGTAAAGAATTTCGTTTTTTATCATTTTACGACATTTTTCATTTGGCAGAATACGCCTTAACTACGTCGTTTTGGACGTCACGTCCTAAAATCTATATTTGTTCAATGAGATCACACAACATAAAGATAACACGTGTCAAAGGTAACAGGTGTCAAAGGTAACACGCATCATGAACTTGCTAAGAGCATGCATGTGTTTCATGTATGACAGTTATTTTACCAAAACGTAGTACTAGTAGCTACATGCAAACAAGTGATTCAGTCATTAAAACAATGGGGAAACGGGTTCCCATGTGCACGAATTTGTGTAACATAAAAAGTTGTTCATAAATCTTTTCTCATGAAACTTGAGGATAATCATTAATATTGTAAATGGTTTGAACCCGGGAGTATCGTTATATGTTTGTAAATGATGATCGTCCAGGTTAATAAAGTCCTGAGAAGGACTGTTTTTGATGTTGTTGACTGACGTTTCGACAACCTTAGCGGTAGTCATCTTCAGAGTCAAATGAGGAGTAAACGTCAGGTTAGCCGTATTTGTTGTCTGGTTCTTACGTCATTGTATTGTGTGTACAGGAAGTGTGCAGGAAATGTGTATTGTCATTGTGGATTAGTGTGAAGTGAAATATTTTATTTTTAGTTGTGATGTGTGATTTAGGTGTGACGTTTTTTAGTTGTAGTGTGTGGGTGTCAATTGTGTATTGTCATTGTGAATTAGTTTGAAGTGTAATGTTTTTAGTTGATCGTTTGTTTGTATTGTGAATAAGTCGTTTGTAAGGTGCCGGTAATTGCTGTGATCTGTTCAGGGGGGTTTGTTCCAAGTTGGTATACCAACTTTCTAATGTAAGCCGTTGTCTATAGTCAGTACTGTAAGTGATGCATTTTGCCGAGTCCCAGTCAATGTTGTGCTTTGTGATTCGGTGATGTTCGGCAATGTGATTAGTTTTGTCTTGTTTCTTAGTAGCTCGTTTGTGCTCAGTAAGTCTTATGTTTAAGTTCCTGCCAGTTTCCCCGATATAGGAGGCGTGGCAGTCGGAGCAGTTTATTTTGTAAACTGCACCTTGTCGTTCGTTGGGTTGTTCTTTGTCCTTTATGTTCGTTAGTACTTGTCGTAATGTTGTGATTGGTTTATGTGCGACACGTATGTTGTATGGTCGTAAGATACGCGAGATAGTCTCAGACGTACCTTTGATGTAAGGTATCGTTGCTGTTGTCACTGAGTTGTTCGTTTCGTTGGGTTCGTTGGGTTTGTAAGTGTTGCGTTTGATAAAGTCAGAGTTATAGTTGTTTTGTCAAAACACGTTTGAGATAGTTGTTTTCGTTTTGTAGAGCGTCCGGTGAATCACATATGATTTGTGCACGTCTTGTTAATGTTCTGATTGTGGTGGCTTTGTGTGATGTAGGGTTGTAAGATGATTGGTCTAGTAGTCGGTCAGTATGTGTTGGCTTGCGATAAACTGTTGTTCCTAGTTTTGATTGTCATGTTTTACCAAACAGTCGAGAAAAGGAAGAGTTCCGTTTTCTTCGACATCTTTGGTAAATTGTATGTGGCTGTTCTGTTTGTTGATGTGAGTATGGAAGTCATCAATCTCGTCTGCATGTAGTGCTGTGATTGTGTCATCTACGTAGCGAAACCAAAAAGGTAGTGCATGTTTGTAAGTCATGAGTGCCCGTTCCTCTATAGATTGCATTACAATTTCAGCAACTACAACAGAAACGGCGAGCCCATTGCTGTCCCATGTAATTGTTTGTAGTGTGTTCCTTTGTATTGGAAGTAAGTCGAGGTGAGGCAGAGCTCTAGTAACTCCATAATGTCTTCTGTCGGTAATGGCAGTACGTCCGTGGTGTTTGTAATGAGGGTTTTTGTACAAGTAAGTGCCAGATTAAGTGGAATACTGGTGAACAGTGATTTCACATCAAAAGACACTAGTATATAGTTGTCTGGTATTTGTATAGTGCACAGTTTTTAATGAAAGTTTCAGTGGATTGTAGCTTGTGTTTTGATTTGTTTGTAAGTGGTTGCAGTATGTTAGTCAAGTACTTTGAAAGTTCGTAAGTAGGCGAACCACAGAATGATACAATTGGTCGCATGGGTATTTGTGGTTTGTGAAGTTTTGGTAGTCCGTATAGTCTGGGTGGTCGTGGTACTGAACATCTGAGTCGATAGTAAATACGTTCAGATATAATGTTAGATTTTCTCATAGAAGATCTTGCTGTTAAGTTGCGTACTAGTGATGGTGTTGGGTCTCGTTTGAGTTGTTCGTACGTTTGTCTGTCGTTAACAAGTGCGTCCATTTTGTTAAAGTAATCATTCCTGTCCATGACCACAGTCACGCGTCCTTTGTCTGCTGGTAAAATGACGATGTTGTTGTCGTGTTTTAGTCGTTTGAGTGCTTGTTGTTCGTCTTTTGTCAAGTTGTTGTCACGTATAGAGGACGATTGTAAAGTGGAGGCTATCCTGCTTCTGATCTCGTCTTTTGTTGTCTCTGACAAGTCTCTTTGATACGCTAGGACAGCCTCGACACTTGATACTATCGTCTCAGTCGGGATTTGTCTAGGTGTTATGGAATGTTTTAGTCCGTAAGATAGTAGTCGCGTTTCAGTTTCGTCTAATGGGCGGGAAGAAATATTCCTCACCCAGTTATCGTCATGTTTATGTCTTGCACGTGTTTTAGTTTGTTTTAAACGTTCAAGTTTTGTTGTTGTTTGATTTGGTGTTGTGTCTCTGTCTTGTTTGCTCGTTTCTCTGCAATAGTTTGTATGGTAGAAAGTAAAGTATCACTTACTGTCGTTGGTATGAGTTCCTTCAGTTTGTTCAGTCTTTGTTCTTGTTGTTTGATGTAATAGTAGTTGATTCGTCTTACAGTCGTTAATCCGTGCTCGTATCATCTGCTGGTGGATTTGACAATCTGAATAGCCTCTTGTGTGTTCAACGGAGACTTAATTCTAAACGAAAACAACCAATCCTTGCAGCGGTGGTTGAACCAGAGTTGTTGGCGTATGCGTCTGACGTTGCTTGCAAAACGTATGTAGTCGTTAGCAAGTTGTTCGTCCAAATGATCGTAATAAAGTAAATGACAACAGCAACGATACCTTACATCAAAGGTACGTCTGAGACTATCTCGCGTATCTTACGACCATACAACATACGTGTCGCACATAAACCAATCACAACATTACGACAAGTACTAACGAACATAAAGGACAAAGAACAACCCAATGAACGACAAGGTGCAGTTTACAAAATAAACTGCTCCGACTGCCACGCCTCCTATATCGGGGAAACTGGCAGGAACTTGAACATAAGACTAACTGAGCACAAACGAGCTACTAAGAAACAAGACAAAACTAATCACATTGCCGAACCTCACCGAATCACAAAGCACAACATTGACTGGGACTCGGCAAAATGCATCACTTACAGTACTGACTATAGACAACGGCTTACATTAGAAAGTTGGTATACCAACTTGGAACAAACCCCCCTGAACAGATCACAGCAATTACCGGCACCTTACAAACGACTTATTCACAATACAAACAAACGATCAACTAAAAACATTACACTTCAAACTAATTCACAATGACAATACACAATTGACACCCACACACTACAACTAAAAAACGTCACACCTAAATCACACATCACAACTAAAAATAAAATATTTCACTTCACACTAATCCACAATGACAATACACATTTCCTGCACACTTCCTGTACACACAATACAATGACGTAAGAACCAGACAACAAATACGGCTGACCTAACGTTTACTCCTCATTTGACTCTGAAGATGACTACCGCTAAGGTTGTCGAAACGTCAGTCAACAACATCAAAAACAGTCCTTCTCAGGACTTTATTAACCTGGACGATCATCATTTACAAACATATAATCATTAATATTATTACAAATCAAAAGCTCACAAATTCTTTTATGTGTAGAGTAACTAAGAAACATCGATAAATGGGTTGGGGTGGAGGAGAGGCAATGCTTATACGTATATACGTACTTACTAATAACAAATAATGTCGAAATAAAATATTAAGGCACAGTAAGAATATGTATGAATACTGCCCCTCCCTTAAATATCGAGCTGGCTAATCCAATGTTTATAGCTGTACATCTGTCTCAGAACAACCAGTTTTTAACGAGAAATCGCTTACCATTGAAACCAAAGAAATGTTTGACCAACCTGTAAAAATGAAAAACAAAAAGTTCTTCAAAAACAGTTACCAAAAATATAACGCAAAATATTGAAAAATTAAAGAAATATTCATTTGCTGGTTTATGGGTTACAACAATATGCAATATACGCTGTTAATCGGCGTTGAAGCATTTCAGCAGCGCCTTACATTCACTGGCGATTAAAATAAAAAAAACTCTGAAGCAAAGCGAACAACAACAGCTGGTGCACAAATTTATCAATTTTGTCTGCCTTGCGTTCCAGAACAACTAAAGTGATTTTTGAGCGTATTTACGTTAACTGTCATAAGTATTTTTTCTCAACTAAATGTTTAACATCCCTTAAAACAGCAAAACCTACTTGAGAGAGGATTGGGCTGTAAGACCAAGATAATCGATAAATCATAAAAGGGTCGGTCTTCGACGTATGTCTTCCATCAAAGAAGCTTTTTTATCTATAAAACACCAAAGTGACTTCTGCTTTAAAATCATCGACACAGATGAATCGACTGTCTCTTTCAAAACCAAAGAAGCATCAATAAAACTAATCAATAAAACAAATCCTGATCTGAATGTTCAAGTTCACCATTACAACAGTACCGGAAGAGTATTGGTATTACGAAACATCAGCGTCGACAAGAAAAAGAACGAAGCATAAAAATATCAATGACTTGCATTGTGCCAATCGTAGCAGTTTTTTATCTAATACATTCTTAAGAAGGCAGCAAAATGAGAACATTGACTTTTTAAAGACTTTTTAAAAATTGTTTACTTTCTTTTCACTGACTATTTGCTGATTAAGACTAACTAAGCATCTTAGTAAGTTTCTGAGACATCAACTGTTTTTATGGAATATAACATTCATACATGAATATTGGCCACCCCCACCTTCTGCATACAAAATTCAGCAGGACAATCCGATTACCACTAAAAGCGTTAACATGTAATAGTTTACACTATCTACATTGAAAAAAAACCTGTTATTTATTACATAATCTAAATTATCTAGATGAACTAAACAGTAGTTTATAAAAGAGCCTTGCACAACAAAGTTGGCGCAGAAATCTGTTCAATTTCTTTATTCAATCCATTTATGTAATTAGCACATTAAATAGTAAATATAATATATGATTGATGTGCAATGTTTGACAAGCACGCAAACTGCCGTGACTTCCGTATGTACAAATACTTGATCGTTTATTCAAATTGTAAATTAAAAAGTCATAAATATAATCAAAACAAAGAATAAAAGTTTTATACTGCAACTGATCGAGATAAATGGCATGCCTTGAGCACAGACACTTGGCATCTAGCACACAGCTTAATTACTTACACATCATACCTCTTCTTCAAATGTTTGTAACAGGCAGTAATCCATTGTCGCCAAACAAGCCTACAAAAAAATTGGTAGGGTGATAGTCTCTTTTTCAAACCAAATAGATAAAAAATGGTTGCATTGTTAATATACATTGTCAGTAAGCAATGCGCACCCGTCTACATACAAATAACTGTTCTTCAAAAATATGTGGATATGTAATTCTGACAATCTTATAGTAGCCAGACATATGAAAGGCACTTTCGCTGGACACTTAGAGCAAGAAAACAAATGCATGACAATAAATAAATGAGAATATGTGCAGAAATCAACTTTTTTCTTACTCCACCAGTTAATGAATGTTAATCATAGTTATATATTAAAGAAAGGCAGTGGCATAGCAAATAATAAATTTTGTGCTGCTCTGTAAAAGTACTATAACCACTTACTGCAAAAACAATAAAATTTTAATTGAAATAAATAACTCACAGTTGCCTAACAGAGCCAAAACATATACAATCCTAACTATGCCACTAATCATTTTCCATACAAAAAGACTATGAAATATAAATCATGAAACAATACATGCTCATTAAAAGGTCAACTCAAATGAGCCTTCAGAAACTCTTTACGAGATAATTGTGAGTTATCAATTTTATGTCATGCAGTGGCGTAGCTAGCGGTCCCGCTACTCCCGCCCGGCGGGAGTAGAAATTTCCCAAAAAAATAATAAATATTCTATTTGGACATAAGATATACATTATTTCACGAACAATTTGTAATATTATGTTTTATTCGTTCATATTTACGCTTTTATTAGGTGGTTCGTAATCGTAATACAGCAAAATCTCAAGATTTGTTATGTAACCTAGCAACCGCCTTTTCTCGCACATTGCATACTCGCGCGATTCTCCACGTATTCCGCCCATCTTCAGAGGGCGGAACATACAATATAATTCTATATAAGAAGTTTTGAATTCTGGTTGGCTAAGGGACTTGACGCATGCTCAAATCTGCTGTTTTTATAGTCGAACTCCCGCTATTTTAAATTGGTGGAGGTTGTAATTATTCGACCTTTTAATACGAGTACAGCGATTAGTGATTATCAAATTGCGTGTCATTGTCGGTATTAATTTTTCATTGTGTTTACTCTCAAATTGCTATTTTGTATTTGTGTATGACACAATGGCTTCAACTGCAACTGCCATTTGCTCAACTGATGTTGATTTATTAAATAGCTTATTAGCTAAACCGTTCTCTGCTCGATCGTCGGTCGAACAGAATGTTATCGTTCATGAACGGCCTACTCCTGATTTAACTATCCAAAATAAGGGAAGAGCATTTTAGAGAGATTGGTATGAAGCGAAGGACTGGCTGTGTGGCAGTACAACCTTGCAGAAAGTGTTTTGTTGGCCATGTCTAATGTTTTCCCCAAAAACATCGCCATCGTGGACTGAGAATGGCTACAACGATATGCGGAGTATTATGTCTTATGCTAAGAAGCATGAAAAATCTAAATCGCATTTGACTACATTTAAGACATGGAAAACGTATGGAGCTAGTGAACGAATTGATTGTCTTATGTCCCTTGCTAGAAGAAATGAGATTCAGCGTCACAATGAGGAGGTAAGACAAAATCGAGAAATTTTAAAAACTGTTACTGAGGCCGTGCTGTATTTGTCAAAGCAAGAGTTGCCATTTAGAGGTCACAATGAGTCCGAAGGTAGCTTGAACAAAGGTAATTATAGAGAGTTGCTCGAATGTTTTGCTAAGTTTGATTCTGTATTTGAGCGTCGACTGCACAGTAGACTAGCAGAATCTGATTTAGTTGGTGACAGAAGATTTACTGGAGTCTCCCCAGAAATTCAAAATGGTCTTATCAGCTGTCTTGATTCAATTATTGAAGATGAAATCAGAAAGGAAATAAATGAACCTGGTCCTATGCCAGTCAGCCTCGTCGATTTCTCCTGTTAAAATCTTTTTTATTAATATAGCAACATTCAGCACATTTACAAGCAATGCCCCAAAAAGAAAAGCTTTTCTCACATCTAACAACGTTGAGTTTCCTGCCCCTGGTGAAACAAGATCGTATTATCGCTCTAGATTAATCAATGTATTGCACAAAAACTATGAAAATCTTTTAGATATTTTTGAGGGGGTACTTGAACAACCAGTTGGGTGGGATGATGAGTCATTAAGTAAAATAAGTGGCTTACTGCATTATCTTGATAGCTTTCTCTTTTCTTTTCTAGTGTGTGTTTTTTACAGGATTTTAGAACAGTCCACAATTTTGTATTCCATTCTTCAAAATAGGGAAACCCATTTTAACTATGGCATAAGCAAGATTGACAATTTCAAGCAGTTTATTGTGTCACTTCGCACAGATCAAGCTTTCGCCGAGTTTTACCAAACTGCACTAGAAAAGTAGGCCCACCAGCAACCAGAGCAGATAGTAGATACAATTACAAACAGCTTTATTTAGAGATTATTGATTCCATTAAAGGCATGTTAAGTGAACGATTTCAAGATATTAATCAGTTCGAGTTTTTAGACCTTGTAAATCCTAAACTATTTACTACATGGAAGGGCATAGTTCCACAGGAGAAGATCAATCTTCTCAAAGATAAGTATAGTCCTCTTTTTGACATCCAAACTTTGGAGAGTCAACTTTCCTTCATTTACAACGACAAGGACTTTCACAAAGAGTGCAGTAATGAGGTTCTTAAATACATCTTCAAATTTAATCTCCAGTCGAGTTTAGGTAAAGTGGTAAATTTGTTAAAATTGAATGGTGTGTTGGCAGTGGCAAGTGCTTCAGTAGAGAGGTCGTTTTCTTGTTTAAAAATGGTAAAAAGCTATTATAAAATATTGAAAAGAAAGAGGAATCATTGGTGTTGCATAACGAGGTGGTTGAAAAATTTGTAGAAAAACCCAGGAGGCTGGCCTTTGTTTATAAATGAAGAGTATAGTATGTGTTTTGATATTTGTTCGTATAATACATGGTACTTCATTGAGAAAATTAAGCATAACTTTAAAGAATAAAGCCATCCCTCTCTACTTGCCCCAATCTAAACAAGTTTAAACTAACAAGTAGAATGCTAAGAAAAATCTCTCTCTATGCACTTTAGAAGTGTCGCATACTATATTATTTTTTGTGCTAATACAAATTTCTTCTGTTTATGCAGGGGCAGTGATGAGTAAATTATGTTTTAGGGGACAATTGTCTCCTGCGTAACGTTTCTCTGAGCCACCTTTAGTACCTTTTTAACAAGTTGCAGTTTCAACGATTGCCACATTAAGAATGCAGCTAACAAAAATGGGTTTTTATAAATTATTGTACAACAAATAATTCGCCCTCGAAATCGCAGGAAATGCTGTTTCCAAGGCTCTGGATTTCAAAATTTTCAGGGGGAGTATGCCCTGGGACCCCCCTAGTGGGGTCGGGCCTCCGGCGCGAGATGGATTGGCGGGAGTGACTATTTTTTTTCTAGCTACGCCACTGATGTCATGCATCTCATTTACGTATACTTCACAACAATTGCTTTACTATCCTGTATTTTGAAGTGAATACTTCACAGCGACTAAACCAGCCATGCTTTCACATAAATTTAGCTATTTACATTTGCACATCAAACCTTTCAATAAAACTTTAAAGACACAACTACACTAAATTTGAATTGCTGCTCTTTACCAGTTGACAAAAATAACATTTCAGATTGACAATAACAAAGGGTTACTTTTCCTGATATAAAGAAGTTGTAGTACCAATTGCAAGATATTATTAAGATAATATTGAGATCTTATAAAGAAATTACTTACAATATTTTTAAGACCTTGTTGAGTTCGAGTTTCTCGCCATATCTCTTTCTTAGTATACTCTATAACTTCAGTAACAACCACGAGTGAACTTAATGATCGAACTAATTTTTATTATTTTACAGAGCAGTATTTATACTCGTTATTACAAACAACAAATATTATTATTTGTCGGAGTAGTTCCTCTATTTAAGCTATATGTGGTACATAAGGAAATTTAACTAACGTCGTGCTCCTTGGCTGTTAGCGGTGTGGGAACGGATATATTGATAAACTCAACTACGCACATAATATTTCCTTAACATGTTTTTGTGGTTTATGAGCATGACTCAGCAACCTTCAAAATCTTAAAGTAAATTTATACTACATTTTAAAAAAATCTTGTTTGAAATTACGAATTGTACCAAATAATGATACTGTTTAAGATCTTATTTAAGATCTTACATAGAAATAAAACCTTACATGATTCCATAAGTTCTTTTGGTGTAGCCAAGATGTAAACCATTGAATACATATATTGTAACATAACTTTTAAGGGGGGAATATAATTTTTCCTGGAGAGCTTAATCACAAATTCCCCCCTTTGCCTATCTCATTGATAATATTTTTACAGAACCATACTTAAGATTTCTACCAGGGTAAGGGAGACCTAAACAGAATACAAACTTTTTTTTATGTTGGTCAATGTAATGGAATGTAAGTTTATTAGCCTAACTTGGGTTCATCATGATTGTATCTGGCACTAATTAGGAATTGACTTAACCTGGAGTGTCAAACCAAGACACAAACGCTATATTTTTCTTCCAATGCACACATTAACAAGTTTAAGCAACATCTCAATAAGCAAGTTCACGTCGTTAATACCATTTTTAGTTTGTAATCTAATTATAATAAATTCCTCAAAAAGGTACCTGGTATTTGCATGTAAAGTGATGCAAACGCACACAAATAAATTGAGCCCATGCTCCAAAAAAGCATTTCCTTCACCAAACCACACGGCCACATGAACGACGTGTAACAAAAGAAATTCAACCAAACAGCTGTTCGGTTATTCCAAATTACTAAGTTATTGTCAATTGCTACAAATTAAAAATTTCAGTATCGGCGCCCGCAAACGTTCATATGGACTGTCCGTTACCAAATACTTTGTTTAACGTAGATTTTAAGATAAATTTCGAGTTTTGACCAGAACTTAATGCTCTACTCTATAGGCAAATGTATTCTATTGGATGATCACTCAGCTTGTAAAACAAAGTTTTACGGCGCTAATGATCATGTTATACGTCATATTTCCTTCTAGCTCTATATTATGGTTGTATTAACCTGTTTACTTTGAACCATTGTTCACTCGTGACTTATTTATAGCTGCAAAAAAAACAAAAACATGATTATTCGTGATAAAACATGATAAATGCTAATTAACTTTATTTTGAATTTTTGATGCCCATTTCCTAAAGGCTTACTACAATTCAGGATTAGTCCTTATAGAACATTAGAAAATTGAGTCACCAAGATGCAGCAAGTACTTTCTCAACTGTTTTCAACATACTTATAATTATTTACTGCACGGTCTGCACCCCAAGGAAACTGCATGTTTTCTGGCAGGAGGTACGTTGTTGTATATTGCTCAGGGAAAAAGCTGAGGGCAACAATAGGCCATGGTTTCGATTTGAAAAAATTGTTAATAAATTTGTGTTTATGATATAAGTCGTCATTACAACACCTTGTATTGGTTCATAGTCACATGACTTCATAGTCAAATGACTCCACAGAAACATGAATCAGAAGTCACATAGTTCCATAGTCACATGACTACATAATAACGTAGTCCAATGACGAAATAGTAGTGAAAAATGAAACAAGAGTTAACAGTCAGTTGAAGATTATCTGTAAATAAGATTTATTGTAAACGAAGCAAAGAATTCAAGCCCTCCCCATTACGACATTGGTAGGATAGCTAACAATAATTTGGTGTATAAATCAAATTTCACCCGCCTTATATGTATGTACGCTGTTGAGCTCAATAGTAGCGAAGTAAATTTCTTCCTTGATTTGATTTGACATATCTCACACAACTCCTTTGTTTTGTTGCCAATAACTCTTGCAATTACTCATAGAGCTACGGTTGAACTCCTACTTAACAATAAGTCTTGCTTATAAGTGCTTAAATTTTGTAGCCATTTTCTTATTTAAGTAGTGAACATAAATTTCCCTTCAATTTCTTTCCCAAATCTATTGTGTGCATCATGCGTTTCTATGATTATTATAGTCCTTCGAAAGTCTTAGCAAACAGCAGATGATTGATGCTTGCACGAATATATACATACTTTTTTTGTATGTCCATAAAGTCAATTGTAAATATCTTTTTGTAAAAAAAATTATAAAAGTATATTTATCCTAGATTAACTTCATAGAATACAGAAAATTAGTTAAGAACAAGATATAAATTGAATAAATTAGAAACTTTTTTGCTTTTGTATAGTCCTTTTTCTTCAATGAGACTTTTCAAAAAAATACAAGAAGTGTAGTTTTAAAAGATTCCAGTTAACTAATTAACCCAATTTCGATAGGCATCTATATATATAGCCATATACCACGAATGTCAATAATGCAGACATTATTTCATTGATTGTAAATATTGTGCATTGTAATAACGAAGAAAAAGTGCAACGTCAAAGATCTGCTTGCGACAAAATTATGTAAATTTTGCTTACAACTAATACCATCTACTTTGACCAAAAGCAAATATTCTGATAAAATTATAGATGAAAATGATCAAACGTAACCATTTCAACCAATTACATCCATGTTCATTTACAATGGTTGCCGCGGGCAAATTATGCCTTTACTTTTTGCCATAGAGTTAACTATGGTAACATCATTCCATGACATTCTTCGCTTATTTTCTCTAATTTCGACTCCAACTTTTTTGATATGATGTTTTAAGATCTCTAAGCAATACTGGGTTTTTCTTTCAACACAAGGGTGTTGCTTTTCAACTCTAACACTGTGCATGTCTGATTTAAACAAACTAAATAATTGTTTGACATCTGACCAGGAATATTTTTTACACATGTTTTCCTGCCTGCTGAACTTTATCGACAAACAATAAGAAATTGGAATGAGATTAGCGTAAAAGTCTTTGGAAATCAGCGGCCCATGGTAGGCAGTCTGTGGCTGAGTCAGTAATTGACTTTCATCAACAGTGCTCTCTTTCATAATATTTTTACTGTGTGGCAACCGTTTATTAAGTTGGTCTAAATTGTTGCACAATTCTATTTTCCACTCGTAGCGATTATTCTCAAAGAACCAAGCGTAGCTGATGATTACATTTACTGGCGAGAGTAGACCAGTGCCAGTGTGATAAAATTTTTTAAAAGCTTCTTCGAAGTTATTTGTCTGAAACGTTTTCAAGATGTGGTTTCTACAGTTGGTAATGGTGTCGCGGTAGAGGTATACCGGGAAATATGTCATAAAATCAGCTACCTGTGGCCATCCTATCGCCTTCCGTGTACTTTTAGCCCAAGATTTTACCCAGCTTATACCCATTGTACAATCAGTTCCAAGGATCCGGACCCTTCCATTTGGCATAATAGTCGACATTGTAACTGGAAGAAGAAATGGGGAATCGCTATCCAACCAAGCTATGACATCATCATCTGTGTAAAGATCCATGAAGAAACTGCTCCACAACTGACGATTGTAGCCACTTGGCTTTTTTTGGCCAGGAAATCTAAGAACAGTAGGATCAATTGGCAGTGCTTCGTATTTCATTTCAAAAGAATGATCTGGAAAATGCTCAGTTGTCTGATTTAGCAATGTTGCAGCAAAGGTGTAATCTTCATTTGATTCTGCATCAAGTACAATAACCGTCTTACCCAGCCATCCTGGCCAAAAAATTAAAATTGTCTTTAACATATTGCAGTAAAACCTTGTTTTGTGATCTTTTCGCTTCCCCGACATTCTCATTAGGAGAGAAATTGTAGGATTAGTATTATTATTTGTAGTACTTGCAGAGTAATTAAAACTAAAATACGAAGTTTCATTAGTGGCAATTTTTAAGGGATGAGGTACTGAATTCTGTGGCTTAAATGCGTAGAAAACAATTACCAACCCAAAACAGCAAAAGATGACTCGACGACAATTTAAATGATATCTCATTATAGATGAATAGCGTGTTAGTTAGCTTACGGACATCAACGCCTAAAAAAAGACAATGATTCAATTGACATATCAACAGGTCGACAAATTTACTAAGTTTCTTCCGCATTTATTAAAAATAACGCCAATATATAAAGCGAAGAATAAAGGATATCATCTCCCTACAGGGGAATTTTCTCAACTGCACTTTACTAGAATACATAAACATACTTAAGAGATAAATCACTTCATAGATAAGCTAAAAATACGATGAAATATGGCGAAGTATGACCAAAGTGCAGCGATTTTTGTCATCGGTAACTTTACCGTGGTATGGAAAAACTAGAGAAAATAGCCCACAACTCCCTGGAAATAACAAGAATTGTTGAAATCATAGCTCAGAAATACAAACTGATTAAATAATCTCATTTACGATCATAAATTGATCAATCCTTTAAAATCACAAGCCTTTTTTACGTGTGATTCGGATTGAAACCTGTATGCGTTTTGTATACAGCCGATTATTCTTTCTGTCGTTTACTGTCGCGGCAAATGTTATTATTCATCTTCTGCGTTATTTCAAAGAATGATTTGTCCATGTGTTGCTATATTTTCGATAGCTTTGTTAAAAAATCTTTCGATGTGTTAGTCCCTTAGTAATGGCGGCAGCGGCTTCAAAATTTGTTTATTACAAATGTATAGTTGCTTAAGCCAGTCTCTTTTCGAGATCAGTGAATTTAAACGGTGTCTAACATCTTAAACGCCTTTCGTAAAACCGGCTCAATAAACAAGGCTTACGAAAAATCAGAAGCGCTTTGCTAGCGTACGCGTCTGAAGAGAGATATGTCGGAAACAAATTCTACAGTTATTCAGAGTGAATAAAAAGTTTTTATTAAGGGAGATAGGTCATGAAAAATCCTATTCACCAATCTTGTTTATGGAATGTTTCATTTCTGTTATTTCTCACCAATTGCCTAAAGATGCTGATAGAGTTTAGATGAAAATTTGCTACAGGCAGCCATTTTTAAAATTTTCCGTAATGCCAATTTCCGCCGAATATATTTTCTGACCTATAGGGTTTTCACACCTTCCTCTAAACAAAATAAGTCACGTTCCTTATTTATAGAACGTTTTGACAACAAAAATCATATCTGTCCAGCAGAAATTAATAAATACTTGTACGGCAACTTATTAGCAATAGTCTACAAATTATTTTGAAAAATTATTTCGAACGCGTGAAAAATAAACAAATCTTACTGCAGAATTTATTATAAACAAAGATTTTTATGCGAGAAAGCGCTTGAGACAAGTGGTAAATATAAGAAAGTGCTTGCACGAACTGGCAAGTGCCCTGTGTGAGCCTTTCTGGCAGCCTCTTGAGTTTGGCCCTGCGACAAAAACCATTTGCACTACAGTATCTTTGCCCGCGCGCGTGTATCGTACACTTATGAGTATGCGCTATAAACTAAGATAATGGCTTCTCTCGTACGCCGCGGACACTGGCACACATGCCATGAAAGTTGAAAATTTTAAACTTTTTAGGCGATGTTGCGTGAACCATGATGCGTATGATTAAAAAAATAACCAATCGCACAAGGTCACTATACTGTGGAAATGAAAAACATGGCAGTCAAGTCATATGCTAGTACACAATCTTTTGAACCAAGATCAGGGCATTTAATTTATGGCGAGCACTTGCAGTAAAAAAAAGCAACACATTCAAGTTTACAGACGCTACCAAATTTTACTGTTAAACAACAGCATGATGTCAAAGAAAATAGTGACGATGATCAATTTGACGATATTGTGTGATATTTGATAATTTTTCTATCAAAATAGATTTGCCTTACCAAAATCGTTTTCTGTATTTCCTTCCTTGTAATCGCCGTCTTAATAATACCAGTATCATTCATCCATTAAATTAAATATAGCTTACTGGAAGGCAACCTTCTGATATTTCGGAAACGAAGCAAAAATTTAGCCTGACCTGACTCACAGACAAGTGTGCCTTGCAGTCAGATCACAATAATGAAGCTTGGCAAAATTTAAAAAACGTCCGCATTTGTTACCGTTTGTTAAATTCTCTTTTTTACACAAAACGATTGCTTTGATGTCTTACCTTAAAAATCAAATGTTGTAAATGACACAAATTTTCATCTTTCTGAAACTATATTTTGCGATTTATTTCCCCTTTTTTAAGGCTTCTTCAAAAAACTGAAATATTTTGTTTTTGGCGTATTATCACAAGCATGAAAAGACTAGAAACAAATATTGGCTACTTCGGCTTCAAATTTGCAGCTGAAATTAGCTTTTCAGTTATATTTATTTTAATGGTTTCAACAGCCTTCTTAAAGCTGCCATCTTTGCATGGTTTTTAAATCAGCGCGCGCAAAAAACGTTTTAATGGATATTGTTTTTGAACGCGCGTACGAATGAGCGTCTTGTTTCACTTAAAGGACATGGGACATATATTTTTTCATGTCGCGACATCATTCATTGCAGTTTAGTATTCCGTAAAACATTATTTTTCCGGTTTGAAAATTTATATTTAAAGCGCAATTTAGAATGACAGTTTGCTTATTTCAAGGGCTGTTCCGCCATCTTGAAATGAGGAGCCAAAATAATTAGATTTCATATGTGACGTCACAACAGGGAGACTTTCGCTGATGAACATTGTTTATATTGCAAATTGACAAGCATTCTCATTTAGTACGCAAAGTTTGGGACTTTTCACTGCTGTTACAGCACTCAAAATGGAAAATATTAACAAAGATGCTATGGTTGAGCCATATATGTTTGAGCCAATGCCGGATGAATTTGTAGAGAGTGAGAATTCTGACTCAGAAAGTTCTTCGTCGAGCGAAGTAGATGATCAGATAGACGAGGAGTTTGAAGCTATGTATAGTTGGCGTAAAACTTCACTCAGTTGGTATAAATGCGGCCATTGTGAGTTGATGGCAAAAACGATTGAATGCTTTTGCTGTCATGAAAAAGCGGTTGAATATGACGAATATGATGGCAAACTTAATTCGGCACAGGATGCAGGCTTGTCTTGCGTGACTGAACTTGCTGCCTTCAATCAAAACATATCGGCAAGCGTCCTTGAAATAGATACTTGGCAGTATATTAAAGAAAGCAGTCCGTTAGGTGATGACGAACTTGCAGTCATACACAAAATATACCGTCACGTTGGGTATCGAAGATGTTCGAGATGGATTTTTCATAATCTTGGCAAGAAATGTCGAAGGCCATTTCCATATTGCATGTACAAATGCATACGAGGGAAGTATTGGTCATCTGATGCACTTTACACTCATTTCAAATATGCCAAGTAAATTGAAATTGGATTTGAGGTATTTGAGATTTCAAGGCTTTTGAATTTTAATCATGTATTGTTGCATTTCATGGTTTGGCAACCACAACTTTCCGTACATGGACGATTCTTATTCCTACAATAACATCGGCTTGTAGCACATTTTCCCTTGCAACGACATACTATGTCATTAATTTTATCGTCGGGCAAAGCAGGCGTTGTGAATCTACTGTGTCTGCGAGTGATGACTTCATTTTTTGGCTGCCTTTGCCTCCCACACAAGTATGTTTTCACAAGTGAGGGAGGTTCTTTCGGAAGCAATGTTTTTGCATTCTCCAATGCTATTTTTGTGGTGTTAAAATCTTTGCGAAGTCTCAGACACTCAGTCTGAACATCTTGCACATAATCTGAAAATTTTAAATGTATTTCGCATTAACATTTTGTCATTAATGATTCTGATTTGTCTATAATTCTTACTGTAGGTAGGACAGTCGCTTACTGGTTTGGCCACAGCTTTTTCTCCTTTGTAAGCTTTAGGGTATGCAACTGACCATCTTTTATCACCTTTTTGTGTTGTTGCTTGGGGTCTATTAGCATTTTCATTGTAATGTATATTTGCACAAAATAACCTGAAAAATTCACAATGGGTAACTGTATAGGCTGGAATAACACATTACTCGTTATTGGTCAATACAACCCTTTTTTAAAGTAAATATGTGAGAAAAAATGTCTTCACCTGGCCATGAGTGAGTGATATGGATAATATGTATTTTTTGATGCAAAAAGATTATCAAGTGAATGCTTTGCCTCCAAGCCTGATGTTTGTTGGTGACTTGACAACTTTCTAACTGCAAGTAGTATAGTACATGGGGGTTCGAGAGCACAAAAAGTGCTCTCATATCCCCCATGTACTATACTACTTTTAACCTTGGGTAAAAACTATCTTTAACAAACAATTGTTTCAAAGGGGGGTAAAAATCTCGACGTTACAATCTGTTGTTTAAAAATATGGAATCTATATGTTTTAAAAACTATCTTTAGAAATAAATGTTAAGAAAGCATCGTTTCGGAGAGGGCTCGGCAGCGCAAATTTTAGCGTAGCTAAAATTGAGCAGGGGATGGAGCCCTCGAGAATTCAGGCGACGATGGTGGGAAATTTTCACGAAGTGAAAATTGGAGTCGCCCCCCTGTGGTGTCCGAAGGACGACAGACATAAAAAATGCTCTTCAAAAAACCGTCTTTAAGAATTAATTGTTAAGAAAGCATCGGTTCGGAGGGGGATCGGCAGCGCAAATTTTAGCGTAGCTAAAATTGAGCAGGGGAATGGATCCCCCGAGAATTCTGGAACCCAGGTGGGGAAAATTTTTCACGAAGTGAAAAATTCGGGGTTCCCCCCGTAGATTCGATGAATATTCGAAGAATATTCGAGAATAACAGAGGCTTAAAAAATGCTCTTCAAAAAACCGTCTTTAGAAATCAAGTGTTAATAAAACATCTTTTCAAAATATTGGAATCTATATGTTTTTTAATCTGTCAGGCGCGTGTCTTAGTGCATGTTTTTAATAATGGTTGTTTAATGTAGCTAGCACATGTCACCAGCGCATTTTAATAATTTAGTGTTAATAATAAAATGTTATTAAAATATCAGTAGCAGCGCGCTTTATAGTCTACGTGGTATATTGGATTAACTAGTGGTCTTTAACAATGGTCTTGAAACTCAGCGCGTGGTATAAATATTCTTTAATAATCAAGTGTTAATAAAGCATCTTTTTAAATCGTTGTGTCGGGCGAGAAATTTCAGGCAACTAAGCCTGAAATTTTGAGCGCAACAATGTCATAGATGCTCTTTAAAAAACTATGGAATCTATATGTTTTTTTTAATTTGTCAGTCAAGCGTGTGTCAAATGTAAATGTTTAACAATGTTTTATATAATTTTTGTTAAAAGTGTTTTTTACTAATTGTTTCAGGATTTTGAATCTTTTTGTATATCGCTTTTGTATTAATTACTTATTACAAACAGTTATGTGATATGTAGTCAAACATGAGGAGCAGGTATGTATGATTTTACTCTAACAGAGGCCTACGCTACATGCTTACTACACATTATAACTGTTTGTTAATATTTAGTTATTTGAACCGATATTATAATGGCCATAAGCTAATGTTGTTACACCATCATCTAATATATATCGTTTATCATCAAAACAGCTGAGTGATACTTTATTAATTTCATAACTACTAAGTTGATGGTTTACACTTCTAATAGTTTTCATTGTATGATGCATTTGTTTGTTTTCAAATAATGTTGTTTTATAGTCTTCATATTTTATTTCACTCTTAATAATATTTTTTTTAATTCCTTTAGCTTTTTTATCTCCTTTATTATTATCTTTAATATAACTATACATCTTGCTTCTTAAACCAACAAATTCTTTAACTACTATTCCAGCAGCTTCATCTTTCATTTTACCAATAACTTTTTTATTAGTTTTATCATGATATTTATGGTATTCTGGGTAATCACTGAAATCAAATTTATCTTTATCATTCCAAAAATCTTGATAGACATCTTCAGTTTCAATTTCATATGTTAAACTATCTGTGTCTGTGAAAAGAAGTTTAGCTTTATCACCATATTTCTTCTTGATATAATTGTAATGAAAATCATACATCAACGTTTTACTTAAATCTAAGATACACATGCCAACATATGCAGGCCTGTTAAGGGTTAGTGTTTCTTTGATCTTATGCACAGCCACAAGGTTCTCATTGAAGATTTTACTACTTACATAAGTAGGTTTTGAAGCTAATTTTAATAATTTATTTTTATTAGTTACTAGTCTAACATCTACTCGTTTTCGTAAGTTTTCCATGGTTTTACCGAATACCGAATTATTCATTAATTTGAAGAAGTCTTTTCAAAAGAATTTTTTGCATTAGTTCTTTTTGAGTATTAAAGTCTATGTATTTTTCAACCATGGAGATTGATTAAATTCAAGTACTCTATGTACTTTTTAACTTTAACCCAAGATCTAAATATAGTTGAAGATTTCTATAATGTAAAACGTATTTGTATTTATTTTTAAAGTAGGAATCAGTTTGCTTACTAAACCTGTTGATATATTGTAATTAGAAGCAATTGTCTTACAATATTTTGACAACATGTCGCTAGTTACCTTAACTTTTCTGGTGCAACAGGATAATCGTTATGTGAATCATGTAGTTCTTCAGGGTATTCTAGATCAACTTCTAAAATTAAACCTTTTTTACTATCTGCATTGTATTTAGCAAGGTTTATGTTGTTAATCTGTTTATTAGTTAACCATTTGAAACCACCAGTAGGTAAGTTTTGTGACATAGCCCAGCCATACAGATTGTTAGCATCTAAATACGTTAAATACTTCGATGGCTTATTATTATCATAAGATGATTGATATTTGTTATTAGCTTTACCATATCGATTAGCAATATAACTAACGCCTCCTCTCATACCCTTTTCAATGAATTGAAACATATCAATATCTGTCATTAATTCTAATTTAATATCTGTCATCTTTAACATAGCATCCCAAGACAACCCAGGAGATGTGAAATAGTGGCATGGGTCTAATTTATAATATTCAAGACATGTTTTCGAAAGTTTTCAAATACATCAGCTAATAACAAAACGTCTGATTTCAGATATAGGTCGTGATACTCACCCATGTTTTTCATATTGAATGTATCCCACACTTTTTGTGCATGATGGTATTGTTCATCTGATATATTATCAGCAGTAAGAATACTATAAAAGTCTTTTTTTGAAGGTAATTTTCATCAAACTTTTCAAAGCTATCCATATAATCATATGGGTATATACCTTTTTGAGTCATTAAATTAAATTTTTCACCTTGAAACTGCTTATAGGTATATTTAAATGAATCTTTAGGTAAATTACAAACAAGCTTTTCAAGACTAGAGCTCATAAATTGAAAACTATCAAGAAATGTTAAATGGTTTCCTAACATAAAAGCCATATACTTTTCCATATTATTAGGTATAGCATTTATATTCATATGCGTTTCTTCACCTTTTTGTTTTGTATGTATGCTTATTAACAATAGCTCCGATTTCTTGCATAATAAAATGGCTGTCATACCCACGCAGATTGTGAAATATTACTGGGATTTTAAATTTATCAGAGTCTATTCTAAGTTTTAAATTACAATCTTGATGAGCTGACCCTCTATATTTTCCAGTGATATGACAATGGTCTCGAACTCGAATATCTTTGTTAGTATATTTTTTGTTACAGATATGACATTCATCAGCTTTTTTAAATTCTTCTTCATCATCAGAGGTCATTTTAATGGTTTATTAAAGTGGGTTTTCATAATATTTTTACAATATTTAACTTCTTTTAACATAGCTTCCATAAATTTGTAAACAGCCTTTTCACCTCTATATAGTTGAATTTTTTAGTGAATTTATCATCATAACAACAAACAACTTTATATCCATAACCACAGTCAGTATGTTTCTGATAGGCTTCTGTATATGATTTTTATTATTCTGTTACAACCAGATATCTTTTCTGTAATAGCCTCAAAGTCAGCGTATATAACAAACGGAACAGCTTGTTGTTTATGATAGTTGTTGAAGTTCAGTATGTTATTATTTTTATCAGGCATTTTTACTGCTTGTGTACCATTTATTAATATACAGTTTTCTATATGGTTATTTAATATTTTTTCAGAACTAAAACATTGAAGGCAGCGCATACAAAAGTGTTTCCTTTCCTTATGCTTTGTATGATTATACATAAATGCATTAAAATTTTTTATTAGAATATAATGTTTGTTTTCATTATCAGTTATCAATAGTAGTTCCATATGGTCTTCAAATTTTTCTTTTGAAATGAATAATGGATATGGTTGTTTATCTTCATAACCGAAAACGTTAATGTTAATTCTGTTTTGCTTTTCGATTTTATTATAATGTTTAACAGTCACTGGAAAATCAACCCCTTCATAATTAAGCTT